CCGCCCCCCCCCCCCCCCCCCCCCCCCCACCGAGACCCAAAGACTCAAGGAACACGATGGCGCCTCCTGGCTCGGCCCCATCTGGTAGTTGCGGCGCCGGCAGCAGCTTAGAGATGACGCGGAGGTCGGGGCGATCACGTCCCGGCCCCTCTGTTCGCCTGACTGCGCTGCGCGACAAGAAACAACCCGACCTTGAGCTGCCTTCTGGCTGGCCCGGCCTCTTTTTGGCCCGCATGGCGCCGCCTTCGCCGCCTCCTCATCTGCACACGTACTTGATCCGCCTTTGGCAATCCGGGATGCCCCCTTGGAGTGCTTAGCTGCGGCAGGCTCGCGCTCGCGCCAGCGCACCCGCAAACCACCACACCCATGCTCACTAGTTACTCTCGCGGCTGCAGCTTCAGCTCTCCTCCATCCCGGCCTCTTTTCCCCCTTTGGATGCCAACCCCTCTGCCTGCGGCGCCGTCTTCCTTCTTTCGGGTGTTTGCAGACAGGATACCACGTCAAAAGCCAGAATCCCAAACCACTGACCAGTAGCCTCCCACACCTCCTGACGGCTCCCGACCTCTTGATGATTCTAAAAGTGGGTTGATCGTCGTTTTGCTCAAGCGTGACTGTCTCAACGCAACTGCTGGGCCTGACCGACACCTCTGACGTCGCTGGTCTAGCGCGCCCTGTGCGGGTTTGACAGGCCTCTGTTGCCGCTTTCGAGCATGTTCGTCGAGCGCCTAACCAGCGGCTGGTTATCTTCCATGTCCCTAATGTTCTGTTCCTTACTCGGATAGGCCGCACCCCACCCTAAACATGCTTCCGGGCGTCCTGGCGTCAAGCTACTTCGCGCCGGTCAACGCCGGCAAGCTGCCAAGGGCTCCAAATTGGGTGGCTTCTCGGCACTGCCTTTCGTTCCTGTGGGTATTCAAATCACCGAGAGTGACTATCTACTGTGCAGAAAACCCAGGCTGAACGGGGCTGAAGCTGCCTACCCCGGCTCAGCGGCAGTCCACCAAGGCCCTGAATGCTTTTTCTTCCTACCCAGTGTTTGTGGCAAGCACCAAAGCGGCAGCTGTTAGATCGCCAACTGCGTTCAGCTCATCGAGATCATGCATGGGGGCTAACTGGACTAGCCATTGCGGCTCTAGCCAAGAGCCTACTTGTGCTTTTGCCCTTCCCCTCTTCAAAAAAAAAACTCTACCATGCATCTCCAGCATGTACAGCATCCCTCATCCTCCGGCGGGGAAACAAGCGGTCTGCGAACGCATACCTACCCGACCTACCCAACATCGCTTGATAGCGATTTGAACGAGGCCTGTCGTCTAGACTGGCATTATCGGTTTGCCGTTGGGAACCAATTTTAGTCAACGAAAGCTGTGATTCGACCGGCCTGCCGCACTAGTCGGCACCACGATTTGTACCCTGCAAACCCTCCTCCCTAGATTGCAAGCGTGAGGGCAGGCTCGTATCCTCTCTGTTCAGATATCGTCTGGTCACCTTCAGCTTCTGCGGCTGCGACGGCGTCCGCGTCACTCCGATTTCCCGACTGGGGCGGACTGCGTGTCTTCTGCAGGGTGACGCCTTTGAATCCCCGCGAACAAAGCAGACTTGCACTGCATCCCTGCCTATATCACAACCCCTCTCCCCTCACCGGTTTCCCGAACTCTGTAGTGGGCGGCACTACTCAACGGTAAAAAGAGCTGAAAGGTCTCGTTGCAGCCTCTAGTCCGAGTCACGTCTGCTGCCCTATATCATGTTGTTGGCTAGGCCAAAAACACATCAACGACCCGCGGGCCACGAACCGTGCAGTCACGGCGCCAGCAGATACATACATTACACAAGTGTTGCACCATCGTTCCGCCGTTGCCGATGCATACTTCATTATCGTCTTCCAAAATGTTCCGAGTGCGCATGAGCAGCGCCCAACAGCGTTGACTCCAATATCTTCTTTCCTTTGAAGCCCAGCAATTTGTGCCCTACTCAGCCATTCGGCTCGCTGCGCGATAAAGTCCGAGAAGCGTCTTATGCGGGATCTTGGTAGCTCGGGCAGTCAGCCCCAGCTATGCCAGCACGCTATCCGAATGGAGAAATAACCTTGTCTCTGCAATGGTCGTGTTTGAACCCCGCTCGTTTTTTATTATTTCCCGATCTCTACGTAACATAACATCTCTTGCAGTCACCAATGCGCAGCACTGTGGGACGTCGGCTGCAAGCATGCTTGATATTACCGTGACACTTTCTCGCGACCCAATCTCGACTGGACGATGGACCCATTTCGCCTCCGATTGGCTGACAACCCATAGGCAGCGGAAGACCGCGTTCTATTCAACACTCGGCCGAGACTTAAACCCTTTCCGTCCAGATTTCAGCTGCTTGTTGGCTGCCTAGTCCCTCAGAAATTTCCGTTCTTGCTCACCGCCGCGCCTGTTGGCCGTAGAGATCGACCGTCAAGTAATTTGTGCCACACACTGGTCTCTCGGTGTCATCTTTGGCACGACAAGTTCCACGCTCGGGCGGCGCTCAGGGGCGTACGTGATTGACCACCTCCCGCCTTTTTTTTTTAGTGGGGGGAGACACCCAGGACATCATACGACATCCCAACAACGCCATTGACACATGTCCAAAAGGTCCGCTACAGCCACCCTAACGCGATTCCTAGCCCAGTGCGAGCCGCGTTATGCGGCCGGGCAAAGCATGGGATATTGTTCCCCAAGACCCCAAGACGATGTGTTTGCTTGCTGCGTGTCAGCGCGGGGCAGTGTGCACCGCGCATTGTGTCTATACGCGTCTTCAGACAAGGCCAAGCCCTCCTCCACGTTTCCTAAGATTCGAGATACGAACTTTTCTATCCAAGGACCTTTGGATTGGGCATCTCGAAGCAGCCGCTGATTGGCCGGTCAGGTTGGATCGACAGCCGGACATTTATCCGCTCAGCCGCACTCGCGAGGGCGAGGGCCCGGACCCTGATCACACCGATACCCTGCTTAGTAGGGGCCGTCAGACCACCTAACTCGGAGACATGTGGGCATTCCAAAAGGCTTGCCACGCATCCCCGCCGCCCTCAAGCTGCGAGGCAGCCTTGGATTTGAGCAACCCATTCCTGGTTTCAAGTTTCATGAGGACGCGAGATGGCGATTCAGGAATGGGGTGCGGTGCAGCAGCAACGCGCTGCATCACGCATCACGTCAGATTAAAACGGATGGGCCCCGGCAAGTGGAATCCAAGACATGCCCAAGAGGAAATTCTCCGAGCGCGACCCGCAAACAAGTGCCCCATCTTTTGGCTTGGCTTCTGACCCGACGCCCGGGTTTTTTCACGTGGCAATCATTGTGCGCGTGTGCTTACAGCCGTTGTGTTTTTGTTCTTCGCCTCAGGGTGGGGGGGAATGCATTTGGACGCCCGAGCCCACGCCGGATTTCCCCAGCCCCTGCTGGCGGTCCCCACGCGGAACCGGCACAGGGGAAGCTGGGTTTTGTGACAGTTGACTGATCACTTTGCCACAACCGGTCAACAGAGAAATGTCTCGAGACGGCGGGGATCAATTCCCCGCGCGAGCTTGTGTATATATGTGTGTGTGTTTTCCTTTCCTCACCGGCCTCGGGTGGTCCTCAACAACTGAACGTCTATCGCAGCCTTGCTAGTAAAAGGTGCGGTTGGAAGGATGAAGGTCGCCTGGTTCGGTATGAGGTCCCCACCGCGTGGTGAGAGAATCATCTTACAAATGCGTCAGTGAGCGAAGAGGCCCATGTAGGATAACTGGAGGCCTATACGCCGTTGTGCGAGTTTTTTTTTTTTCTGGGGGTTTTCTTCTTGAGAGAAAGCTTGCAATTCTTTCACATCAAACGAGCACATGTCTCTTTTTATCCACCAGTTCAACCCACGCCGCACTCTGCGGGGTGCTGGCGTTCAAACTAGAACCCCTCAGTCATCGATGACCACATTGGCGCCTTTGTCCTACCCACCTGCTAAAGCTCTGCGTTCCCTCGGGTAAGGTGAATCAGCTCGACTTGTCCGTGAGTGGGGGCGGCGGATGGGGATTCGCAGTGCGACAGCTACCGCAGAGAATCCGATGCGTATAGGCAGCCGGGGGGGAGGGTCGCGCGAGGGTCGTGCTTGATGTTGCCACTCATATCTCTCTCTCACGTGAAGGCCGCCCCCCGTGCCTGTCCGGCCGCGGCGCGGGGGTAGTTTTATGGCCGTTTCCCTCTTCTACATGGCCGGTCTAAATATAAAGATTGGAAAACGACTGGAGTGACTTCGAAAAGGTCGGAGCAATGGACAAAAAAGTACGAGCCAAGATTTCTGTACCCTTTTGAGTGTAGGGAACAGACAAGATAACCATAACATCCAGGCATCGTCGTTGGGAAAGTACTGACTGGCACGAGTGCAAGACCGAGGTTGGCAGAAATGAATAATGAACACAAATCATATATTTTACTTGGAGATGGTGTGCGCCAGCCCCCATGTCGGCGGCACCTCTATGGAACACTAGACGATCACTGTGATGACGCACCTGTTCCTGCCTGACCAGCCAAGTCCGACCACATAAAACTCCATTCTAAAAAAAACACACCCCTTGCTGGGAATCTAGATACCACCACCAGTCATCTTGATAACTTGGCCTATTGGTTGAAGATGGTCAGTAACAGGGTTCCAACAGTTGACAAACAGGGTCGCAGAGATATAATAGACGTACCGTTGATCCATTCGCCCTCCTCGCTGACGAGCATGGAGACGGCCCGGCCAATGTCGGCGGGGTAGCCTATCCTCTTGAGCGGGTTGACGCTGGCAAGGCCGGCGTCGATCTTCTCCTGGGGCATGCCCTTGTATCCGCCGGGGGCGTAGTGCCACGAGTTCTCGTCAAACATGTCGGTCTTGACGCCGCCGGGGGCGATGCAGTTGACGGTGACGCCCTTTGCGCCGCAGTCGACGGCGAAGGCGCGGCAGAAGCCCTCGACGGCGGCCTTTGAGCCGGCGTACAGGGCGTGGTTGGGGATGTTGGCCATGACGGCGGCGATGGACGAGGTCAGGATGATGCGGCCGCCGCGGCGGCAGTGCTTCAGGCCCTGCTGGGCGACGAAGAACTGGCCCTTTGTGTTGAGGTTGAAGACCTTGTCGAAGAGCTCCTCGGTCACATCGAGCTCGTCGCACCAGACCTCCATGCCCGAGTTGGAGCACACGATGTCGACGCCGCCAAAGTGCTCGATGGCCTTGTCGAACAGCGCGACGACCCCGGCGGGCTTGCTGATGTCGGCCTGGATGGCCACTCCCTTGGACCCGAGCTCGGCCAGCTCGGCGACGACGCCCTCGGCGGCCTTGCTGCTGCTGCCGTAGTTGACAACGACGTCGGCGCCACGGCGCCCGAGCTCAATGGCGATGCCGCGTCCGATGCCGCGGCCGGCGCCCGTGACGAGGGCGACCTTGCCAGCCAATGGGCGGCTGGGGTTGAACTCGGTGGTGGTGGCGGGAGACATTGTGTGTAAGGCGGATGTGGGATGTGGGGGGAAGGAAGATGTGGCACAAGGCTATGTGCGGGGTGATGGCTGCGGGGAGGGGAAGTTGGGCCGAACGGATCTAGTCTAATTCTAAGGCTGGGGGTACCTTGTTGAAAAGCGAAGAGTAGGGAAGGCAGAGCGTAGTGGGTTGAGGATGATTCTCTGGTTAGACTGAGATGTACTAGACCGTGGTATTGTCTGAATATATATATACGCTGGACCTGACTTCAGGAGTCCGACACAAGACAGCGGGATTGGGGAAGTTTCCCGGAGATGAGAGCAGCTCCAGGAAGCACATCGGGACATCCGTCGTCGTCGTCCGGTGGCCAGCAAGCACAGTGGGACCCAAGCCTGCACGGATGGGCAGCCCGCTTGGACTTTGCTGCGACATTGCTTGGCCAAGCGGTTCGCCACTAGCATGTTGGAAGCGGGAGCTGAGAGCTGGGCCATCGCCTCTTGGTCGCGCCGAGACAGCCCCAGCAGAGAGGCGGATGGGGAACGGTCGCGCCTTCGCGCTGTGCTCGGAGGGCCGAAGCAAGCACGGGCGGGCACTGGGCTGGCCTCGGGACCGCAGAGCACTCTCGGGTTCGGAGGGGGTGGGAGGGGAGGGAGCAAGTGGCTCGTTGCTATCGAATCGCGCGGAACAAGGCTCGCGTTGGACAGAAAAATCGGGGCGCCATTATTGTTTGCGCAGAGCCCTTCCCCACGGACATCCGGAGCGAAGGGCAGGCAGCGCCCAAAGCTGAGGCTGCTCAGAGGATCATTTTGCGCATAGGATTTCAATGCCTAAGAATGGAACAGGAGCAGGAACAGGAGCTGGAACAGGAGCAGGAATGGAGAAAAAAAGCCGCGTTCAAATGCGACTTGTAGCATAGGCTCGGATGGCAGAAAACAAGAAGATGGTAGAATTGAAACAAAGACGCCCCTTTCGTCCCAAAGACGTCGAGATAAACTCGGCTCCTGGCGGGGATCACCCGCTTGATGGGGCCAGTGAGGTGCTAGGCTTTGCATCACGTGACCGCCACATAGAACCAGAGGACAAGAGTCATGACGTGATCACCAGGCGCACTATTTTGGGTTTGATGTCTGATTGGGTCTCTCTACCCCGTTTGTCCCGTAATCTCAGCCGCGCTTTGCCACGGTCCTCGTTTCGCTGCTCCCCGACGATCCCCCTCCTTGTTTCCGAATGACTCGCCGGGACCTGATCCCATCTTTTACTTTCCTGTCTTTGGCTTTCCAGCCTCCAATGTGCCTCAGCTCATATCCGCTATATATACCCAGCGCAATGCACCGGGCATCCATGGGTGAAAGTGCCGGGTCACACCTTGGAGCCAAAATGCCACTCTGTGAGGCTCGTTGAGGTGGGCACCACGCAGGAGTGTCCAGTGCGTGCTTATCTATATTGACCTCACACCATGTAGGGAAGCGGCACCACATCCATATCACGAAGATGGCACGTAGTAGATTATCCGGCATGTCAGCATACTCGGCTTCCTTAAGAGACCCAGCCCCGCCGCCGTCCCGCCCCGCGTGCGCGTCCACCTTCCCCTGCACGTGTGGTGGCTACTCCCGATATTACGGAACTCGCCTCTAGGTAACCAAACTCGCAATCATGGATAGGGACGGGCTCAGTTGCTCGGTACGGATGACCGTATCATGTCCCTGTGCAACCATCCTCACGCTTCATTTCATTTGTATGCCTTTCCCCTTTCGCTCCCCCCCCGCCTCTATTGTGCCGCCCTACGAGCCACAATACGACGTTGGAGAATACCCGGCGGGCCCCCCTCGGCCTGGGCGGTTGAGGTTGTAGTGTCTGAACCCCCGCGTCTCTCGTCTTGCCTTGGTCCTGGGCCGCTTGTGCACATAAGGTATTCGACGCTGTGATGAGGAGGTTGGGTTGTATTCGTAAACAGGATATGGGGTTCTTCGCGATCCGGAACGGTCGGTCCGAAGTGCACCTCGACGCAACCTACAATACCTCTGCAGCCGCTCTGGGGCGCTCCAGAGCGAATATTCCTTCATCGCCATCCCAACCCTGCCTCTTGGCGATATGCCTTCTCGCTTATCCTGGCATCGTATTCGCCAGTGTCCAGCCTGGCTTTCTGCGAGTCAACTCTGGTGCCGCAACATCAGCCTGCTACCGTTCCCTGTTTTTTCAGCATTCATAGGCAGACATATTGCACTTTCGGCTGCTGTACATCGACCTGTTCAGCTCCCCACATCTTCCCCATGGCCGAGCAGGAGCCCGCACAGCCGTGTCATGCTACTGGCTGTCTCTCAGTCTCTCAAGGAGCCTGCCCCACGTGATCCGCCGTCCCAGTTGGCCGGGCTGAGACGGCGCACGGGATGACAAATCAAGCCTCCCCATGTCACATGAAGCACCCTACCACATGTATCATATATCCTGCTATAGCGTTGGCCTCCCGCCGCGCTCACCGATCCTTCAATCTGGATACGCGGGCGGTGCGACCAGGCCCCTGGCTGACAGCGCGGGCTGTGAAACCCAAAGCTTGTGCCAAGGCGGAAGCGCTCCTTCGGGCAGTGATGATATGCTGGTCTCTTCCAGCCTAGGTTCCAACTACAGATGATATCCAATACCACAAGGCAGGCACTCTGGCACCTAAGAAGGCAGGACCGCTTCTCTCAGCGAATGAGAACACACAGTCCTCTACCCCACCCAAACCGACCTAGAGCAATGCGGTGCAAGCCACGAGGCAGCTTTTCAAGGCACTTGGGCGTCGATGCGACAGTGGGGTTCCCTTGTGCTTGATGCATAACTCAAGGAATGAGGAATCAGGGGCCCTCACTCATCGCTGCGTATAAAGGCAGGCGGCCATCATTTGTCAGACCTGGAGCAACACAGATGCGGGAATAGCTGCTGTGCCTGTGATAGCATAGGGACAAGGATTAAAATGTCAGGGATTGGATGGATCGCGAGCAGACCGAGCAGTCACCTGGGCAGAGGCGAGAAGGGGGATCCTCCGAGCTTCGCCTATCATGAAGTGGCACGAGCTAGCAGATGCTGCACTCCGACCCTGGGGAGGGCCTCTCTGCGCCCCAAAAGTAAAGATCAACGTGAAGGACAACTCATTTCTTTGTGTTCGGCCCGTCACCTTGCTTCTTGTCGTTCCCAGGTGCCGATCCACCCCCTCAGATTCCCTGTCATATCTGCGCCTATAAGGCTCGTCGGGCACACCTTTCAAGCCACCCGGCCACGGCACGGTCCCGAGGGCCAACCGATGGCACAACGCTATCCATCCCTACACTGTCTGTATGCCGGGTGTGATCCCAGGGACCCTTTTTGATAGCAAAATTGTGGGTCTGATGCGGGCGTGGATGGATGCATCTGCATCTATCCATCCAAGAGACATCTCCCTTAAGTATTGTTATTTTCCGCCATTTTTTTTATTTGTTTTCTTTTTTTTGAAGGAAATAATCGTCTCTTCAGCCCGAGCCTAACATTCAGCCGGGGCAGCCGCACCCTACATCCGATTTCTTGGCCGCAGCAGAGTCCGCTGCGGCCAGCAGTTCAGCCCCACGGTGTATTATTCGACCGAGCTCGCTAGCCGTGCAGGTTGGCTTGCATTCATCAGCACCAAAACAGGATACCGATTTGGCCATCTTATTCTCAGCGCTCCCGCCGGCACGTCGGCCAAAAAGAAATGCCTGCTCACCAAGGATTGGTGGCGGAAGGATGAGGGGTTGGGAAGAAAAAAGCAAAAAGTAAAAAGCAATGATGGAATGAGAAAAAAAAAAGAAAAAAAAGAGGAACAACATGTGGATGTGAGCGGGATTGATGATGTGTACTGCTGTGATTTGCGACCGGCGGCCGACTAAAGGATTATAGTTTCCTCCTATTTTCTCACCAATGCCATGCTGATCATCCCGGAACCCTCGTGGCTGTTGTTTTTCCCTTCCTTCTTAGCGTTCGGGATAACGCCTCTCAGCAGCCGCAGTGGCGGCGGGAAACATGCCAACCGGGCTGTGGTTTCCTCTTTGAGGCGTATCTTTCACCGTGAGATGCATACACCACACACACACACACACACACACACACACCTTTATGACGTCGACCTTGCCAAGTTCTGATACCCAGTGGGTACAGCTCTAAACGCATCTACCTATACCTAGATAGGCAGTAGGGTGGCGAGGGCTGGCACATGCCGAGTCTGAAACACGGACGTCTGACCATGCACACGCTGTCATCGTCAGCACCTAAACACACTCCTCCGGCACTTCTTATTTTTACCAACCAAGATGGCGACATCCCCTCGACGCCTCTACCTGCTCCCCCAACCCAAGCATCGCCTTGCCATGGGTACCCACACGACCAGATGGGCTGACCACGCTCCTACGTACGTATGGTGGCAGGGGGCGGGCGCGAGGCTAGCTCCTCCGCGGGGGAACACTTCCACCCATCCGTCTTGCTGACTGCATGATGTGCGCTTGCGCTTGCGCTCGCATACCGGTGTAAATGTGAATGGCGCTTGGCTGGGGATGCAAGTACGAGTCTTTTTTTCTTCTTTTTTTTTCCCCTCCATTTTCTTTCAGTGAACCCACCACAGCTCAGCCAAGGCGCACACACCTTGCTGCCGCCCGCATGTTGCCACTACAGCCTGCCCACACGGGGGGGTGTGTGTCCTTTGCAAACGCACCCTGTGATATAGTTTATGGTGTATGCATTGCCGCCCTTCCGGCCCCGGTGTTTGGCCCAGGGGCCTCAAAAAAAGGTGACGAGCTCTATGACATGGCACTGCCGAGTAGGGGACCCAACGTGGCGGCCGACGCCCGCCGTTGGGATCCAGGCCCAAAGGGGCCGAGGGAACAAAAAGGAATGGTTATCGTGGTTGGTCATATCGGCGGAAAGGAGCCCACCTATCAACAGTTGCTAGTAGCCAATGACCAGCGGCCCGAAAAGGGGACTGGCAGGACGGGCCTTCTTTATATGCACGGGAATGGGACAAAAGCCGAGCAGCGAACGCCGTCGGGTTGTTTTTGCTTGGTCCACAACCGAGTAGCGCTTTTTGTGTATGTGGTACAGGAGTAAACAGTACGAGCGCCGGGTCCGGCCTGGCACGTCGAGCAAACGCCAATCCATGACCGCTATGTACACACCAAGAAGACTTTCATTCTCTGCTTTGGGCATCGTGGTGCCTGTGCGGAGTTGAGGGCCGCAAAGGAGGGGGATTCGACCATGGAGAGAGAGCAAAGGCATGGAGGACCAAAACGAACAAGACATTATTGTGCAAACATGCGTAGCGAAAAGTTTCATAACACGAGAGAAACAAATCTAAAGATGCACAAAAAGTACAAAGGAGAGGACATAGAGAAGAGGTGACGAAAGGTCCGTAGGCCCCCAAGACTAACCGTGTCTTTGAGAAATCAAAAGAAAAAGAAGACATGAGAACCCCAGCCGCCGTCATAAAAGCATTATCCGGATATTAAACCCACTGCGCCCCATAGATGTAGACGAGTCAAAGAAAGTGCCCCAAACGCCAGCATACCCAACCTGCCCAACCTTTTTTTCAAGGAGAACCCTCGTCCGGGTGGCCGTGGCGTAAAGTTAAACAAAGTAGTAATGTCCCAAAGGAATGGTATCGAAGCGAAGTTTTTCTGACCCAAGGAGAGAAGGTAACAGTGTGTGTGTGTGTGTGTGTGTGTGTGTGTGTGTGTGTGTGTGTGCGCGTAAAAGCAAAGACGTAACATAAGAGTACGGAAAGAGAGAGATGCAAAGGACGGGCTCATCGGCGGACCCTATGCCACGCTCGTGCTGAGGACGTCTATGCTCCAGTTCTGTGCCAGCGTCAACAGCTTGCGCTTGATGCCGTCGCCGATGCGGGTGCTGACGGCGTCGTCGAGCGCCTTGACGGCGTAGCCCAGCACGTCGGCGGGCTTGTCAAGCCCAAAGGTCTGCCCGTCGCCGCGCGTGAGGAGCGCGACCCCCTCGCCGCTCCACAGGTACGCGATGACTGCCGGGTCCTCGGGCGTCACCCGGTCGACGGCCACGGCCATGGGGCTGCCGCCTGCCGCCGCCGCCGCCGATGATGTTGAAGAAGCCCCCGCCGACGACGAGGAGGCCCCGACGGCGGGCTCGTCGCGCTTGAAGCTGGGGTCCATGCGCGAGATCGAGTCGGTCCAGAGGATGAGGACGGCGCGGTAGAGGGCGCCGCCCCACCACACGGGGCGGCGGTCGGGCGGCATGGCGCGCAGCAGGCGCAGCACCTGGCCGCAGTGGAAGATGGCCTCCTCGCGCTGGAAGATGCAGCGCTTGTGCCGCAGCGAGAGCTCCCAGTAGGACCCGTCAAAGGCCTCGCGGCGCGCCAGCCGCTCCACCTCGGGGAAGCTGGTGACGGCGTTGAGGGAGATGAGGTGGTAGAGCACCAGGTTGCAGCGCGTGATGGCGCAGCCCGGGTTCTCCTTGGCGTGCTCCATCGAGAGCTCGTACCAGCGCTGCAGCAGCCCCTGCGCCTCCTCGAGCCGCGTGAGCGTCGAGGCCTTGGTGACGGTGCGCGACGGGGTGCGCCTCGTAGCCAGGATGTCCGAGAAGCACGACAGCATCTGCCTCAGGTGGCAGAGGAGCGCCTGCAGGGGGTGGAGCAGCAGCCTCAGCTGCTGCGGGGAGAGGTTGCACTTGCCCGCCGTCAAGTTATCGTGCAGGAAGTTCTGAAAGAGGTCCGACAGGGAGGGGGTGAGCGAAGGGGTGGTGAGGAGCTGCGGGTTCACGTTTGCGGTACAGCCGTAAACCGACTGGACGGCAGCCAGCCATGCTTCGGCGTTTGGCGCCTGCCACAGCACGTCGGGCCCGGGCAGTGGGCAGAGAAGCTCCGTGATGGACAGCATGGGGGCCGTGTCGTGGAAGAGGCTGAGCTCCTGGTCCATCATGACCCAGTTGTATACGAGCCTGTGGTTGGGTGGGATCCTTGTTGTTAGCTTCTTATCTGGAGGGGGGTGTGCAGCTTACACCACGGGCTAACAGCAGCCCCCGGCGCGCCACCCGAGCGGAGTCCGACAGCCGCATCGGAGAGACAAAAAAAAAAGGCAGAAGGGAAAAAAAATACGATCAAACATACCTATTCTGGGCCTCGCGGTGGCACCAAGCGCGCCACTGCAGCTCGCTGCTGGTCGAGTTTGTGAAAGCGGGGATCATGGACGGCTGGGGCTCAAGCATGCCAGCGTGCTTGAGCATGGACAGGTACATGCCCCGCTGGCCCATCGAGATGTCCATGAGCCACTTGTCGCCGCTCCAGGCGCCGAGCAGCGTGAACAGGAGCGCGCACCTCAGCGCTGTCGGGTCCGCCGACAGCTCCACGTTCTTCTCGATTATGTCAAAGAGCGAGATGCGGCACGTCTCGGTGAGGCCGGCCGACAGGTAACGCGCCTCTGCCATGGGGACGGCCGCGGCGCCCTGCGCGATCATGAGCAGGACCAGCAGCGTGGACGCCTGGTTATTGCGCAACATCTCGTTGGGGTCCACGGAGCCACCCGCAGCCAGCGGGTAATAGGGGGAGAGCGTGCGAACATAACTGCGCAGAAAGTACTCTAGTATCTTGGAGGGTGGGAGGACGATAAAGTTGAAGTGTCCCGGGTTCGCGTAGCTGTTCTTGGGCCCGCGGTGGATCTCAAGCGCCTTGTGCAGGAAGCCCTGGGTGATGGCGAGCATCTTGTCTCTCGTCCTCGACGTGAGCGGCACCACCGACGACAGGTCCGACGCGTCCCAGTCGACCTCCTCGAGGTACTTCTCCAAGGAGCACCAGGTGCCCTCCTGCTTGGACTTTTGCTCCAGGCACTCAAGGTGCACGATGGCTGTCCTCGGACACGCGCCTGAGTACAGTGGGGGGTTGCACCGCGCCAGGGGCCATGCCGCCTCTGCCGCCACAACAACCTCAAACTCGGGTATCGAGTTTCCAGAGAGGGACGCGTTGAGGCTCATATCGATAGGCTTGATTTGGGTCTCAAAATCGGCCGTGGACAGGATGCTTGTGCCGCGGGTGTGGATGGAGCCTCTTGATGAAGACGTCGCCATGGGCTCGGAGCCCGAAGAGACGTCGCTGTTTAGATCTGCAAAAGGCTGCATCGTCATCTCGGGCCGTCCCATCGCGAGCTGGTTGGGGTACATGTCCAGCTCGATGGAGTAGTCGGGCCAGGCCAGCAGGTCGTTGTACGTGGCATCGGGCGTCACAAAGTCGCCTCCAAGCTGCATGAAGTCATCCATCGCGTCCACTCTTGTGTGTGGGGACGGAACGGCTCCGGGGCTGTGCAATGAGTTCGCTGGCGACTTGTGCTGTAGGGGGCTGCCGTGGATGCGGGGGTCCATGGTCCCAGGCGGCTCCATGCCGCCCTCTGGCGATTTCCCAACCGCCGGGGGCTCCTGCTTGGCCATGGTCGGGTCCATCTCCATGAAGGTGGGGTTGACGGCCTGGAGAGTCGTCTGTGCGTGCGTAGGCTGCGCCGCCATCTGGCCGGCGAAGGCGGCGTGTGCCTGGGCGGCGCGCAGGACCGCCTTTGAGGAGCGCCTGGCAAACCTCGCCGCGCACTGGAGGTTCTTTTCCGCACATCTCGAACAGGGAACCCTCTTGTCACACCCCGTCTTCGCGTTGGCGCAGTTCTGGCAGGCGATCGGTGTGCGTCCTGCCACGGTGGGCACGCCTCCGGGGAGCGGCTCCATGAGGTCTCGTGCTTCGTGGTAGGTGGTGTGGTGTCTTTGAAGGAGGTCTCTGTTGGAAACACGCCCGATATTAGAGCTGCCCGAGCATGGCCGTTGCGGCACAGATATCAAGGACTTGTCCGCTCTCGCACACAGGTTTCCTCACCTCCTAGCAAAAGCAAGTCCGCAGGCACCACAACGATGAGGCTTCACGTTCGTATCTACACGCGCGTGTACTTCGAGTCAGCCACTGCAGAGTCGACCACACCCCTCAACCAGGATCCGGAAGGCCCGGGAGAGAACTCACGTCTGGGGATATGCCTCTCAAGATGCTCCTTTCGGGTGAAGCTCTTCCCGCAGTAGGTGCAGAATACAACCATGTTTGCGGGGGTAGGTGACATAGGAAGAAAAAGGAGGGTGAGAGCGAGATTGTTATGCCCAGGGAAAGGGAGGTCACAGATAAATTCCTGGTCTCGTTCCAGAAGAACGAGAGAAGTTGGGAAAGAGGCCCAAGGTCCTTGATAAAGAGCACAAGACCCGAAGAACGTGTTGGTTGGTGTGTGGGGTGTGTGCGTTGAGTGTTATTTCAAGCCCAGGCTGTGGACAGAGAAGCGAGCGAAGGATGGAGCGGGCTGTGTTCACAGCTAGGCCACCGTTGAACCGTTGACCTGGGTGCAGAGGGCGCCTTGTTTTGGTCCGAAGTGAGGGCAAGAGACTTGTGCGTCAGCGCTGTTGTTTGGGATCAGGGGCAGAGGACGCGAGACGGGGTGGAAATGCATGGATGGACGACTGCACAAGGACAGACAGAGGGGGGCTGTGGCATGAGAGACGAGGCGTAAGGATGAATAACAAGGCGCTCCTGGTGAGAATCAGCGCGCATGCATAAGTGACGAGCTTGGGAACGGACGTCTTCCGAACACACAAGCACACAGGCACAAAAATGAAAGGGCGCTTTGATGGATCGGGCAAGTGGGAGGGCGCATGATTTCTCATATATCTTGAATATCAGAGAGACAAGCCGCTCAGTTTAGGCGTGGGTTCGCGTCATGGTGGGAGAGGCGGGACCGAGATGGCATCCGTCGTACATTATCCTACACCACCAACACGCTCGCCGAGCAGCCTGCGGATACAAAGCTCCTCAATCAGTGGAGAGGGAAGGGTCATTGCGCCAATGACTCGAATGTCAAGGGTAGCTGGTCGGGGAGTTCGTTGCCGTATCGAGCCAAGGGCATGGGGGAGCAGGGGGGTCGGACCACACCTCTAGCCTAGCCAGGTTGTTGACATTGCCAAGCCGCGATGGGATGTACAAGGACCAGGGGCAGGGGACATTGGGTACCCATGTATAGATAGCGCCAGTCAAAGTACGTACTTGCCGCTGGTGCCGTACTCGGAGCAAGCGCCCAGCCTATCGGATTGGGGGGGTGTCTTCGGCTCAGTTGGTGCAGCAGAGATAGGGCGATATGGAGGACGAGGGAGGCATGAGGGAACAACGCCGAGGGCGCGTGGAATCGATGACAGCAAACAGAGAGAGAGAGGATGCGAAGCTACATTACCGTACAGGATCGTGTGCAAGGAGTGAGAGAGGAACACGGGGGATGGGGTGGGTGGGAGGCAACACCCAAGCTACGCGCCAAGGGGACCAGGAGGTAGGCGTCGGCAAGCATCGCACTCGCCCGTAGTGATTGGGGGTACACAGGTCGGGCAGATGGGCAGGCCGGGACAGCTCTGCCAAGATCGGACAGGAACCACACCACGGGGACTTGGGAGTGAGATCTTGGAGGGGGTCGACGATCTCGAGCACTTGCACGAGCTAGACGCAGGCGTAGAGTGGGTCATGGCAAATTCTATATGGGAGAGCTGGGACGATGGCACGGTAGATAGGGAGGAAATATGTATGTACGTGTATGTGTATGCACGCAGGAGCCCTTCAGAGCCAAAGCTCAGCGAGGAATGAGGTCGAGGTTGCAGAAAACAGCTGAGCACGCCTGCAGGGCAAGGGATCTGACAGCTGCGATTGACAAAGAAGCAGGCCTATATCCGCAGACTAGGGGTTTGTTTTTTGTTTCTTGATTTCTTTTTTTCTTTGTCTCTTTCTTTTTGGTTGGAACTTTACCAAAGATAGCACAGGCGGCCCGGTGGGCGGTCAGACGGCTTCAAGAGCACGAAATCAGGCTAGCCCTAGGCCGCCCAGAGGATGTGCTTTCGGTCGGAGAGTAGAGGCCGTCAGTTCCCAGACGACGGCTCAGCAGAGGGTCACGACCCGGAAGGCCGTCTTCAAAAAAGAAAAAGAACAAAAAAGAAAAAAGAAACCAAGCTCCACGCAGGCAGGTTGGTACCTACGCAGCCGTCCCAAAAGAGAGTGTGGGCTTTGCCTGGACAGACGGAACAGCCGGCAGTGAGTGCAGAGACGGCGAGAAGAGTGTCGTTCAGAGATAGATTAGAGCAGAGGTGGTCATCTCGCAGCACGCAGGGCCTAGCCTGGTGTTCTACCCACCCCACTCTTGCGTGGACGAGCGTGTAAGAGGGGATGATGAGCGGCAGAAAGTGCTAGCTTGGTCTGCGGTGGATCAGCTCGTCGACAAAGGCAATAGAGAATCGAAGAAGCAAGCGATGGCAGCCAGATTTCGACGTCAGAGGCGGGTTTGGGGGAAGGGCTGGCGGTCGTGGGCGTGGATTGAAGCCATAGAGAAGCCAGGAACACTTTGGGGAGAGGGGGGTGTCTCTAGCAGGGGGCGCACTCGTGGACTTGTGGAGGAGGACCTGGCAGAAAGCGCTGGGTAAGATGAGAACCCTAGTGGAGGTGGTGAGCGGCGGCACAGAATCGACACCGGGAACAGGGCTAAAAGGGCCCTTGCTTGCCAGCGAGAGGGGCGCCAGGAACGGCGGGACTGCAGTCGAGCCATCAGAGCGCGGAGCCGAGGCGATAGGCTGCGATGCTGCCAGTTGTCCCAAGGTCGCCACGGTCGCCCATGGATGTGCTTGTATCGAGTGTAGTGCGAAATAAGTCCATGCAAGGTTCGGTGCTGTCTCCAAGGGCCCTGGTCGATCAGCCGTGTGTTTTTTTTTTGTTCTTGGGCCAAGTCAGCCTCCATGCTACGGCCACGCCCCACCCTCCAAGCTCCTCGAGGCTAGCCACGTCCCCCACCAACATCCTTCTCGTCAAGGCCCTGGCCAGCTCGTAGCGAGCGTGCTTGTATTCTCACGGCGCGGGCGGGCTAGGAGCTCGGGACGAGCCTGCAGGTATCACTACCACCTCTATTGGTGGTACGCAGCATGTGCCTGTGTGCTCTGACCACCCAGCTGGCTCGACAGTCCTCTCGGGTCGTCTACACGAACAGCGCCGGGAGCGAATGAGCGAGGCCGACGCGGCATCGAGATGCACCTTGGGGGAGCCATCGGGCAGCAGCAGGCAGAATTGCGACTTATTGGGTCGCACAACCTCCGCGGGCGCAGGCGATGGGTGGGTGATGGGTTTGCGTTCATTCGCTGTCGAGTTATCGCACCCAAGAAGTGGAGGGCAGAAGCGCCCGCGTCGTCCAGGTCGGCCGAAAAAAAAATGCGTCGGTTTCGGAATGCGAATTCAACTCGATATTGAGAAGGGAGTGGGAAACTCTGCTGTTGTGTTTTTTCCTGATGGACCAACCCCATGGATGGGTGGATGCCTTGGCTACACCCCCCAGACAGCCCCCCACTTTCAAAACAGGTGAGCTGAGTGAGGGCTGGAGGATTCGGCTCTCACGCTCGCGGGGAAGGCAGCCTCGCTCGCCATCCATCGTCACCGGCACGCACACATGTAATCCAGCGTGTGGAGCAGCAAGACTCGCTTTCATGCCGGTTGCGTTTTTGATACCTGAAGTGGTGACGCATCGACAAAAAGTAAATTGGCGGTAAAGACAACGATGGCGGTATGCAAGACCTTCCCATGCAAACTGTGTCTCTCTGCATCTTTTCCCTGTCTCTTCTTGCTTTTCCTTTCTTGGCTTCGCTTGAACCTAGGGTCTAGGCCTTTTGCTGTTTTGGGCCTCGTTGGAGATGCCGCTACTCCGTTCGTGGATCTCGACATAAAAAGCCGCGTTCGGGTAAGTGCATAGGGCCCACCAAAATGGACGCGAATCACAAAGGATGATCGACGCCTTTCTGTCACGTGTGGCCGCCAGCAGCTGTTCCCGAAACATTGGTCTAGAATGCGGTGGATCTGCGCACGTCAGTCAACATGTCTTGACGTTGCTGTGATGGCCCAACACACTCCCGCAGCAGGGCGGCGGCGCAGAACAGCCGCAGAGCCCTTTCCTCGGTTTCCGCTGGTTGCGCAAGACGACTGGTTTCTTTTCTCTTCTTGCCTCTCCCTCTATGGTCACCATTCATGCATCATTCCCGCCCTTCCTGTATTTCTTGGCAGCCAAGTGAGCGTTACAGCCTCGATCCAGCACCTCGGAGGAGGCGCAAATATGCCCTGGCTGTGGTGGTGCGTATGTGGCTGTCGAGACATGTCGCCGACAAGGGAATCGCGCGGATTCCTTAGCTCGACATCTGTACGAATGAGAACACGACAGGGGCTGGAAGTCATGGGTGGGTGTGCCTGCGACGTGAGTGACGGCGTGCGGGGATATGGAGGGGAGCTAAAAATAATAAGCTCGTTATTCTTTCATGCCAGAAAAGCTTTTCCCAACGTGGAATCAAGAAAAAAACCCTCCTCGTTTGGGGTGGCTGATATGAGATGCTGTAGCAGCTGTTCGCTGACCGTCTAACACATCAATGTTCAGACGCTGGTGCTGCTGCACCGCCCACGCAGCGATTCCTTCTGAGCAGTCAGCCAACACCGCCTCGACGGACGAAAGGCGGCTGTCACGGCACTTGACAGGAAAGAAAAAAAATGGCGTTGATGGCGGCCCCTAACAGGTTGGGTATCGATGCGTGGGCGCTTGGGGGGCAGCAATCGGCAGCTACCTTCTCAGCCGCACCAAACGGGCAGGATGCCCACAACGCACATCAGACGTGAACCCTGGCGAGGCGCTGAGGCTTGCACGCGGCTGCGCCTTGGAAGCGTGGCAGTTCAGAAAAGATGGATCGAAAGGAAAGAAAAACAAAGGACAAAAAACGGTCAGGGTAGCGCCTGTGACGCGTGGAGGACCCAGGCGGGCCGCCGTCATGGCACTTTTGTCCTCCATCCTTGATTGGTTCTTGTGCGATTGTCTTGTGCGATTGTCTTGTGCGTTTTGTTTCTAGTTCCTGCTTTTCCGAGCAGGCAAGATGCTTGCCAACCGCCGCTGCTGGCCAAACCGCCATGTCGGCGCAACAGTGACAACTCAACTCGGTGAGCAACAGAGCTCATCCTGGCTCAGACGGGGGCTGACCGGTCTGTCGCGGCCGGGGCAGCCGGGTTGGGAAAGCCGAATGGCCGGGCCGCGCATCGTGTGGCACGTCAGCTAGCTCGCCGCCTCCATCACCCACATCATCCCACTGGCTAGCTTCGTGGTCTCGGTCGGTTTCAGGAACATCAGAAACCGAAATGGCAATGATTGCGAGCGCCCATCGCATGCCGTCCCAATTCGCACAAGAGGCGGCGCCCGGTCCTGGCGGCGATGTGTTTCGCTGTGGACCCAAGCCTGTTTCTTTGTTTCTCATGTCTTTGTTCTATTATGACTATTGACAGACTTTGTCTTGCCGCGCACCTTGAAGCCGCCGCGGCGATGACGCTCACAATCTCATAAAGCCACTAAGTCAGGGGAACGAGGTGAACAAGGAAGCACAAACACTGGGTTCCCCTAGTCCTAGTAGTGGGCGCAAGGACTTTTTCGTGTTCGCCCTTGGCGTTCCTGGGCTCCTTGTGGAAGGCAGTGGTAAATTGCAATCGTCGTTCGAGCTATTGCGAATCTTTGGGGTCAGACCGCCTTTCACGGTTTCACCAACCAGCGGAGCGGGCTGCGCGGCCGTGCGCGACCGAGATGCTAGAAGAAAAAAGAAACGAGGCCATTTTATGGTCATGGTCGGGACCGAGCGACGGTTATTGGCGTCTTTTCGGCGGGTTTTCCGGAGCGCAGAGCTTATGGCTTGCGCTAATGCGGCGCCACCCTGTGCTGGACTTTTGGGCCCGCCCAGGGCGGGGAGGCTGAAAGAAACTCAGGGCCAGTCCCGGGCCAGGAAATGCGGGCGCAGATCACCAATTGCACCGAGACTATTGAATGCACCTCTGCGCTCGCCAGGGCCGCGCGGGGGTGGGCTTTCTTGGAGCTCAGCTTTGACATCCACTGAAGGCGCCTGATACGCGGCTTGGAGATGTGGCCGTCGATCTCTCTTGCGCGGGCGCGCGAACAACGCATGCAGAGGCCCTGCTCGGGTCATCTCTGTCCCGGGTGGTGGCTGGGGAGGGGGGTACGATGCCCGTAGGCATCTTTGGGGAAAGGCGGGACACGAGGGGGGATACACAGTGTAAGACCTTGTGGAAGTGGTCGAGGTGTGCACCGAAAAGGTCTGTGCCGAAATGTGCTGTTCCAGGCGCTCGTGTTGGGCTGCCAGCAGCCGAGATATCCCCCCCGCTTAATGACGATAAGGTAGGTGGTGTAGCGCGGGCAGCGCCGTGGGCGGACTGTAACTTCACGAGCCATGGGCGCCGTTGAGAGAAGGGTGTGTGTGGATGGGTGGATGGTGCATGTGTGGGTGGTGGGAGGAATCCAGGGTGGGCTCCACCTTCAGCTTCGAATGGGGGTCCACTCCTGGGACTTCCACGATAGGCTTCTTGCCCGACAGGGCTGGTTGAGAGAAATGCTTACATGTATCTTCGTACCTACCTCGTCGGCTTGGTTGGAGTGGGTGGTGTGTGGCAGCCCATCCTGCCGCGTCGATTGGAGGGAGGCCTACGAGCAACTGAACCGGGGGTGTGGGAAGGCGTGGTAGGTGCTCCCCCTGTGGCGACCGCCGAGAGCATGCGACAATCTGACAGAAGAACAATGGAGGAATAGGGAAGGGGGCAAGGGAGGGGTCACAAACGGTGCCAGCAACAGCGACAACGGCTGTAGGCCGTGGTTGGCTCCAGGTCGGGGCCCCCTAGGCGGGACAAGAGATGCGGCGCCACCATATTGCATGCCGGCCCCGGTCGGTCAAGCTGATCGGTCGGCCGAAGCCCGCATTTGGGTCCTACCGGCCTGGGCTGCGTGGCGACCGGTCTGCACCCCTCGCAGTCCTTCGTGTCGTATTTTCGTTGCTGGAGCCTTGGCCACGCTCGTCTGCCGCTTGCCCTGTCAGCGCACAGTTGTTGGTTGGGCCATCCTGCCCATCCTGTGTCTGGATGCTGCTGCTGCTGCTGTTGTCGAGTTGTTGTTCCTGTCTCGTCTCTTGTGTCCTTCCCGAGAACTCCCAACGCTGTCTGCGTCGGAATCAGTGTTGTCCACTGCATGTTCTCATCTTGCATAAGCAAGCGGGTGGGTTAAGATGCGTCCCTGCCGGCAACATGGCCGTCGATAGGTATGCAGAGGGATGATGGAAAGCAAAGGGGAGTAAAAAAAGAAAGAAAAATGAAAGGAAAAAGAACCCATGGACTGCCGAGGCTTGTGCCGACACATCCCCGTGTTGAAGACAACACAGCGAGACCTTTGGTGGGCGGTCCATATTGGCTTGTCCCATCTCGACTCTGATCGGCTTGGGGAACGACCATCAGCGCCTCCCTCGGGAGAGATTGGGCCATGACGCTGCAATTGGGATGCATAGTCCGCTCTCGCCTAAGCTTGATGGCCCCCAGCACCTGTCAGATTGATGTTAGCAGTGTGTGCGCCATGCGTACCCTCTTTCTTTCGTGTGTCTTGTCCTCCTGTCCTCTGCGCCCTTGACGCCACCCATCCAGTGCGCCCATGCAGCGACGTGCTTGGCTGTTCGTGGGGACTGTTGCCGACAATAGGTACTCACTCTCAGGCTGGCAGAAGCTGGAGGTGCCTCGCCTGCTCCCCTTCGAGGCTTGGATTTTGCCGCCATTCCTCTGTCGATATTGAGCCGCCTTTCGGTGCCCGTCACGGGCGTCTGGATGGCCTCTTCCTCGGGTCGGATTTGGGCGGTCACCAAGCCTTGGTTCCTTTATGTGCGCCCATCCATTCCTTCCTGCGGACGGCACCGACTTGTTATGCGTTCGCCTGTCCCCTCTCTTTTTGTTGAGACAAGGGAGTATACAGGAGCAGCCTAGCCGGCTCTCCTCTTGCCTGGTCTTGGCATTCCCTCCCACGGACTTCGTTTTTCCACTTGGCCTCTGCGACGTCCGGACCTTTCACCTTTCGGACCCCCAACTCGCTGCGCCTTGGGGCTCAAAGGCCCGGGGAAATGTCCGCAGAGTCGCAGTCCTTTCGCCTAGTCGGTGTTGCGCCGTGAACGGCCCCCGATCTGCAAGACCCTGCAATGTACCGCTGTCCCTTCTGTGGATGCGTGCAGTGCGGCTTGCCTGCCCAGCACAGGCCTTTTGGCAGGGCAGGCCCGCTGTTCGTCCGGAGGCCCTTTTCGGATCTCCGTCCGCGCCGTGCCGCTCATTTCTCTATTGCAACCGAAGATCTCGGGCTTGTGTTTGATGTCGGGCTTGTCACAACCGTCTACCATGCCTCGCGAAGTCGGGAGGCAGCAGCTCGTCCTACTGAAGTCGTTCGGACGGACAGCAAACTTACGTCTATTCTCGAGACTATGGCACCAAAAGTCTAGCATGCTGAAAGCTTGAGCTTGCCAATATGTGCCAGAGAGTTGACGTTCAAATTCCAGCAGGTCTCTTCCAGGGACTGCGCAATGAACATGCCTTGGCCATAACATGCTATTCGAGCAGTGGTGGTGTCGGCGCTCGTCAGCCTCCGACCGCCGCTCCCTCTGAGCCTGGCTTGTCTCCATGGCAATTACATCGGATGTACTAAGCGCCGACTTCCTTGCAGATCTGCCTGACTAGACCCGGCACGTTCCGACGCATCAATGCTCCTATGGTTTTGGTTTTCTTGGCGTCACTGGCCGCTGCTGCCGTCACATTTCCGGCATCATGTATCCTCTCTCTGGACTGGCACGCAAGGTACCGATAGTCTTGGGGCCAGTCGTGTTCAGAAGCCAGTCGGGGTTCCATGGCTCCATCAGCAACATGCCAACTGGTTGGCCCCAAGTCTCGGACCTCCTTGGTCTGCGTCTCTACTTGCGTTGCGAATGGGACCATTGCTGCCCCTCTCACCAGCAAGTCCGGCCGGACCTTCTGAGGACACGGCTGGCTTGGTGGGACCGGGCCTGGCAGCTAATATCGAGCATGAGAATGCCCGCCAGCGCGTCCAGCGTTACACCGGCCCTGTCACTAGTGAATCGAGATGCAAACACGATACCCATTCTCTGTTTCAACACCCGTTGCACTAGACAATGTGAGACAACAACGGCGATGCCAGTAGCCGCAGCTCCGCCTACCAATCGATGGCTTCGGCGCAGAGACCGTTGAATAGATGAGCATGGCCCAGCCTGCATATGCTGCTCCACGCCGGCATCTCCCACGACGACGCACATCACGGACGGGGGAGAAAGGGGGCTGCGTCGGGCTACTAGTCTTGTTGTTCGACCTGCTACTGCTTCTGCTATCCCCCTCGTCGAGGCTTACGCAATGTAGACGAGTCCGGAGAATAATGAGTCCAGTCTGGGCATGCCAGCAAGCATCCATCAACTCCGCAAGGCGTCCGGGCCCATCTCCTCCATACCCTCGCCAGGGGGGCTCATCCGTTCCCAAACGGGTATGAAGAATGGACAGAGTTCAGGCTGTCAGGCAGCCCATGGGAGAGGAAGATACGGAGGCCAAGGGACAACCGTGCCCCTCCCGCGATGTCACCGGAGTTTGGATGGGCACTAGGGCGCCGCGATAAGCTCGTGGGAGCTGCGGGTCTGAAACGACGGCAAGCATCTATGAGGTATGCGGCGCACCCTTTAGGGCTCACAAGCGTCGGCCACTGCATCCCGCCTGTTTCTGGATTCCTGGTTTCTTGTCTCTTTTTGGACCTATTACTGCTCCTGCCTGCCGCCATAGCCTTGAAACCGTGGCGCACACATACAGCGAGACAGGACGGCTGCCTGCTTTCTTTGCCGACGCACGTTGGGGACCGATCCGGGCGGCGGCTTGCTGATTGTTGCTGCTGCTGCCTCCTCAGATAGCTCCCTACCTATGTACACCGACATGAGCCATTTCGGTGCCGAGGGCTGCACCCCACCCCCATTCCCGAACAGATATAGCATCACTGCCCTCGGACGCGCGTTGGTGATGTGTGTACATACTATAAACAAGCCAGTCGAGGCCCCCCAAACCCCAAGCCTGCCGGCCCCTCCTCGTGTTCGTCGTCGTGGGACCGTCGTGGTGGATTCTCATCCAACGACGCCGTCTTAGTACATCTTTGCTTTTTCCCTGTCTCGTTCTCAAATAATCTCCAGGCCGCCCTATCCCTTGGCTCACCTCTCTTCGGCCTTGGCGTTTCCATGCAGTCGGTGATGTTTAAAAAGTGGGTTGAGGACTTTGAGCCTCCTCCACTTCTACTAGCACTTTCCTCCGAGATCTGCACATGACCAGTCATGAACGGGACCATAACTTCCGAACCGCCGATATCTCAGCCCGGAGCGATCGATACATATAGCCCACAAGCCCCTTGCAGTACTGCCTTGCAAACATTGCTATCTATATCTTCGTCTGCGGCCCTACCATCGAAAAGCAAATCCCCAGCATGACCATCATGTCATGATCGAGACTCACCAACCATAACCGTCGTGGCCTTTGGGGTGCCGCACATGGAGCACTCATGTCCCTTGTTGTCTTCAGCCAGGTCTTGAACTCGAATGGGACGACAGAGCGAGGCCAAGATCATCTTGAAAGAGGAGGTACCTTTGAATGATTAGGAGTATTTCGATGGAGTTGACCTGGATACGATGAGACCTTCGACCACGCCGAACCTGGTCCTCCACTCGCCGACAACGACCCGCCTAGCCTTCACGACGACATGTGCGCCGGAACCTGTGGCGTCGGGGATGGAAGGAAAGCTTGTTTGGGGTGTGGCTTGACAGAGGAACCGACTGTGTGGAAGGGTCGACGATGGCATACGTGATATCCTGCCACCCCCGGGCGGGCACGTAACGAGAACCCCTCGCGGTATCCCCCGTCGACACGGAGCGAGCCAATTACCACGACGACAAGCACGCGATACCTCTGTATCTCGCCGACCAGCGGCTGTCTGCCTCTCGATCGCCAGACCGGCCACTTCAGACGGCCACTTCAGACGGACACCCCGAGGAGCACGCAATCCTTGGCACAATTGAGCTACGAGATTCGTCATTGACGTTTTTGAACGCTATACTTGGTGGGTTATCATGGCAACTCAGACCCCCCATGTGGATATGAGGATGGGTTATGGAGAACCCGCAGACCGATTCTCTGGGCCCAGCCTCCTTCCGCCCACGGTAAGGTATCGACACACCCACAACCACCCACCCACCCACACGTGCATCACCTCTTGGTAAGTCTAACGGTGCTGGATGCTTATGCTCTCTTCAACCCTCGGCGATTGTCAGTAGCTGCCTCCCCGTGCCGGGTTCCAACGCCACCTGAAACCACCAAGCACCAGGCGGAAGCGCTCGTCCCTCCATCACAACCGGCGCCTTTCGCGCCCATCTAGGCTGTTGGTCGACTGGGGGGTTGGCCTCGCGACACTCGACATCACCGAGCCGCGTCGAGAACATGGCGACCTAACAGCGATGTCGGACGACATGCTTGGCTACACTGCGTTGATCCTCCGCCACAGCCGTCGGGTGGAGGTTGCCTGACCACCATATGAGATTCGTCCCATGCGGCGGGGTCGCTGTTCAGTCTTGGGCGATCCGGTCCGTTGGGAGTGCCTTGCGATGCTATCGGGGTCGTCGGTGTCGTCGGGGCGATTGGGCTCCCCTCCTACGGGGGAGGTCTGGGAACAGGCCTCGATTATTGTCTAGCCAGGTGCTTCTCTCCCTAACCGGATGGCCTCTTCACGGTTTAGGACAGTTGCGATCGCCGTCTGTCTTTTTGGTCAGGTGGACGAGCACTCTATCTGGAGCGATTCTGGTACTCCAAAAGAGCAGATGAAATGGAAAGGCGGGGGAGACTATGGGGTTGTGGTGAGCGGCGTGATGGAAGGCATCAGGCTTAACGGTCAAGCATCGACCAGCCTGCGGACTTGCTCATGGCCCGATCCCCCATCCTCCAATGATCGGTCGCCAACCCGGTTACACGGCACCGGGACCTCGCGGAACGCGCACTGCAGAGGTGGCCTGTCTGTTTCAAGTGCCTGTGCTCCTAGGCGTGGGTGCCTTTGATACTTTGGCGGACTTCGATAGGTAGAGCAGCCCCCACGGAACGTTGGTCCCAAGCTTCACCAAGAAGCGATCCCGAATTGGATGGGTTCGGCAACTCCTCCAGACGAGCGAGGCCACTCAGTCCAAGGTGGCAAAAGGACCCCCATTTGTGCGCGGCTGTATGGAGGCAGTTGTCAGGCCAAACCCACACACGGGTGCATGTCACGTACATCCTTGCAAGAAGGAGGAAAGTCACATCCATACAGGGACAAGGGCGGCTAGTTACATCTTGTCACGTTCAACCTGTCCACCGTTGCGGAAAGTTACGGTTCGCACCCAGTCGGGGTAGGTTCGCATGAAAAAGCCAGCCAGCCAGTCCCGCTGGAGATAAGGCATGCAGAAACGTGTGGGCTTCCGCGGCGGCCGCCCCGGAAGCGTTGTTGACGGAAAAGTCCGCGTGGTTATGGCAGAGTCGGTGATGGGGGTTCGTGGTCCGGGAAGCTTGATGGCCGTTCCCGCCAAGCAATTTCTCAACGCGTCCGCCCACCCACCCGGGCCAGTCTGGGGCTGGGGCTTTACGACATCAGACGTTCACGGCAGACCGTACCTAGACTTTGCGGGGCAGCGTAAGGACCCGGGCGGCCGAGGGAGAGGAGCAGACGGTATCGTTTACTAGCCAGTCTTAATTTGGTCATTTGGGCATGACAACGGTCTCTATCTTCGAAATATGGTCGACTAGCACCCTGCCAAAATAACTGGAAGGAGTAAACCCAAAAGTAACTCATAGTGAGTGAGTGATTACGCGGACGAATCCAGACGACGAGGATTACCGGACGGGTTCTCGATTGTCTTTTCCTGGACATGTCATCACAGACTTTGGGAAAGGTCTTGTGATCAGCCAAAGACCCGTCGGTTGAAACACTCTGATTAGAGAATAGGATATGGACCAGTCAAACGCGCCAAAACCACGGGAAATCCCCCGCCAATGATGGGGCCGCGTGTCTTGAGGCCGCTTGTCCTCACGCCATGCATCTTGGTCATCAGAGAGCGTGGTCAATACATATGTACCCACAGTGCCACCGCGCCCCAACATGGTGCTTTCAGGCTACCTAGCCATCACCAACATATCTTGGGTCTCATCCTTGCTCTGGACAGCGAGGACTTGTCTGAACATGTGAGATTCTGAAGGCCGGCATTCCTAGGGGCGAGAATGCGCAAAGTAATGCGGCGTAGATAAGAATATCGCCCAGATAATTGGCGAGCTATGATAACTGGTTGCGGCGTTGAGGTGACCATGTTACTGTTCCTGTCTTTATAGGTGGGCACCTGTATACACTAAAAGCCAGCCCACAGATGAGGCGACCTCGGCAGAAAATCTAGAATTGCGCATACTAGTATACCTATCACTAAATCTCGATAATCTGCCAAGCGCAATGGCCAAGGTGAGGGCCCGAGTGTGTTCGCGAGACGTGTCATGTCTTGGGCCGAGCACACTGACGCACTCTCGGGAGTGCATCTGCTATCAAGCCTTTGCCTTTGCCTCTTCCTCTTTAAGCCTCTCAACGAGTTTTTCCCTCAGGAAATGGCTCAGACCAATGCTGCCAGGGGTTCGAGGTTAACATGTCCGTCGCAAGCAAGCGGTATCTTGGCTCGTGGACGACGATTTGACTCACATGCCCTCGTTCGTCACCTGTTGATATTTTGAGAGTGTTAGAGGATGTGGGTGCCCTGGCACATAAAGCGTGCGGCAAGACAGACAACAGGGAAAGGGAGGGAATGAAGGTCTTTGGGCACTTACGATTCTGTATGTTCCGCTAGGCTGAAAGCTATGGATTGGATCGCCTTGACCATCCACCTCCACACTTCCCAAAATGTCCTCGGGCCTACAAGTTGTCAGTGTTTGATATGAGCGTGTTAGAGGGAAGTAGAAAGGCGCTGACCATGCGATCCGTCCAAAGTCAGGCGGATTTCTAGTCTTCATGTTTTGACCCGAAGGGCGCAAGTCAGCCCACGGAGCTGTCACGTCCCAAAGCTCGGTATGGGGGACCAGGAATGACAAGTCAAAACGACCCAGGGGCCTACATCACTCAGATGCACCCAACCGCTGCTGGAGCTGGAGCTGCCGCCAGCTACCAAGGGGGAGGCGAACGCCTTGGCCTGGGCACGAAGGTCCGAGCACAAGTGAGCGTTCTGCGCGAGCACGGAATTGAGGATTGGCATGAAGCGCGGGTTCTCCGAGAAGGACTGTGGCGTGGGCGGGATGGCTGTGGTGGTGCCAATGGCCAGGTCACGCATTGGCGGGTCTCTATCAAGGAGAGTGAGTATGCTGCTGCCAGGATTCTCCTCGATAGAGAACACTTTCTAACTCGGCCCAGGGATGTATACCGGGCGTCAGTGGGTGATGTCGGTCGACCAGAGCATCCAGCAGGAAAAGGGGTCACCAACAATGTGAGGATTTTGGGGCAAGGAGCTGAGGGATCTATAAAATGTCCTTGATGGCGGCCGCGCTAGAGAGGCGGCCGTGCCTATCCTCGAGAGAAGCATCATCTTTGCGACTTTCTGGATGCTATGAGGCCAATTTTTGGTATGGTAGGCAAGATAAATTTGCAGCTTGGTCCAATATCGACCTCAAGCCTGCACGGTGGCTATGCCGTCATGATTCTGTCAACTCCCAGTGGAAGCTTTGGCCCCCTCGGCTGTCATGTCTTGGGCAACCATTGGCGGGGCTCGGCTTGGCTCCACCAAAACGCGATTCAACACGGTCCACTGAACCAATTTACGCGTCCGTCTCGATTCGAGGTATTCCTTCAATGGGGGTCAAATGGCTTCATTGAAGTCCACACTACGTCCGCCGTCAACCCACCACAGCAGACATCGGCGTGCTACCAAACTTCTAACCGCACCGAGGCGCAATGGTGGAAGCCCACAGGACCCCTCGGCTAAGTCCGAGGAAGAAGAAGGCCCAGAAGCCGCTTGGGAATGGCTTCTTCGGAGGGGGCAGACAAGCCTCGGCGAAGGAGGCGGCGCCCTCGAGCTCGATCCCGTCATCGTCGCCGTCCTTCGCCACTCCCGTCCACACGCTGCGGCCCTTCAACCCCCAGAAGCCGGCAGGGGCCGCCATACTCCCCATCCTGCTGCCGCCCGCGACGCTCCGCCCTCTCGCCTTCCGCACCTTCACCAAGAAGCACAGCCTGACGCTCGCCTCGTCCGCCCTGCAGGAGCTCGCCGCTTTCGTGGGTCGCCACTGCGGCTCCAGCTGGCGCGAGGAGGGGCTGGCCGAGCGCGTGCTCGAGGAGGTCGCCAAGGCCTGGAAGGCCCGCAACGGCGGCGTCATCCTCGACGGCGCCAGTCCCGTGCTGAAGGACATCCTCAAGAACATCGAGGGTAACATGAGCGGCGGCAAGATCGTCGCCGGTGGCAAGACTGGCCTGTCACGCCAAAACAGCCTTCTACTGGATTCTTCCAAGGAAACGGACCACTCGTCCACCACCCGCCTCGGTCTGCGGCCGCTGGCTGCCCTACAGCGTGAAGATAGTCAAACGAGCATGGGCATGTCCGGCTTGGCCGTCGAGGATGAGACCGACGACGACAAACTTGGCGACCCGCGACAGTGGCTGAAGATGGTCGGAGCATACGACCAACCCCGGATGATATACAATGTCGCCAAAAAGCACTTTGAGAGGTATGCTTCCGTAGTTGGGCCATACTGTTCATATATTTTCCCTGTTGCTAATCTAAGGAACTCTGTCGCCCAGGGATGCCTCCAAACCCTCGATATTACCACCGGCCTCGCACAAGACAGCCCTGTTCCGGAACCGATACAACGTGATCCACCAACGCCTCATGCGCAACGAGGCCTTCCAGACATCCGCCGTTGCTGACACCAAGCGAGGCTCCAAGCTGTCCCGCTCAGCCTCGACCGTCGCATCGCCCCAGCAGTCGTACAAGATTACTCCCGTGGCCAATCTGCTCGGGCGCCACGGCACCCACCACATGCTGCTGGGAATGCTCGTTATAATGCCCGCCGGCGACCTGGCCCTTAGCGACCTATCCGGCACTATCTCTCTCGACCTCTCCCAGGCCGCCACCATCCCCGACGACTCAGCCTGGTTCGCCCCGGGCATGATCGTGCTCATCGACGGTGTTTATGAGGAGGAGGACGACCGCCATGGCACCCACACCGCGGGCAAAGGCCTGACGGGGAGCAGCGGTATCGGCGGGACCATCGGTGGACGTTTCCAGGGCTTCTTTGTCGGGCAGCCGCCCTGCGAGAAGCGCCGCGCCACTTTGGGAGTTAGCGGCCCCGAGGGCGACGGCCTCGAGCACACCATAGGGGGTGGCTTCGGGTGGATCGACTTCCTCGGCGTCGGGAGCGAGCGCGCCGTCGGGCCGCGCATGCGCAGGCTAGAGCACCGCCTCCTGCGCCAGCCGCACATGCAACGCGCTCGCCGACTGTTGGAGGACGACATGTCACAGCCCGCGGCTGCTGCCTCCATTATACCGAGACGCGGACGCATAGCCGTGCTCGGCGAGCTGAATCTAGATCAGCCCCGGGCGCTGCAGGCATTGCGCAAGATCCTGGCGACGTACGCCTCGGAGCCTGAAGAAGGTATGGGTGATGGCGGGGAGGACGAGGGCGGCGGAAGTGGCAGCGGTAACGGCCCCGACGCTAGCGCGGATGCCGCCGCGAGGACATGCGGAACCCCCATGGCCTTCGTCCTGACGGGCAACTTCTCGTCGCAGGCGGTCATGGCGCGTAACGGCGGCGGCGGCGCGGACGGCGGCGGCGGCGGCGGCGGTGGGGGCAGCATAGAGTACAAGGAGTATTTCGATTCGCTAGCGGGCACGCTCGCAGAGTTCCCATCCCTCCTGCGCGAGTCCACCTTCGTCTTCGTCCCCGGCGACAACGACGGCTGGGCCTCGGCCTTTGGCGCCGGCGCCGCCGTCCCCCTGCCGCGGAAGCCTGTCCCGGACCTCTTCACCTCGCGCGTGCGCAGAGCCTTTGCCGCCGCCAACGCGGAGGCCTCCGCTTCCGCCGCGCCGGGGCAGCAGCAGCAGCAGCAGCAATCCTCATCCGACTCGGCGCCCGGCGAGGCCGTCTTCACCACGAACCCGAGCCGCATGTCGCTGTTCGGGCCCAGCCACGAGGTCGTGCTCTTTCGCGACGACATGTCGGCGCGCCTCAGGCGGTCCGCCGTGCGCTTGAAGACCTCGTCGGCCGCTGCCGCGGGCAAGGAAGACGGCGACATTAACATGCCCGAGTCAACGGGTCGTGATGGTGATGACAATAATGGTAATAAAAATGGCAAACAGACCGAGCCAGGGGACATGGACGTGGACATGGACGGACAAGACAAGGACGGCGGGGACAAGGCCGTTCCCGTCGCCACCACCACCGAGGCGGACGTGCGGGCGGCGCAAAAGCTGGTCAAAACGCTGCTGGACCAGGGCTACCTCGCCCCGTTCCGCACCCAGGCCCGCCCCGTGCACTGGGACCACGCCTCGGCCCTGCACCTGTACCCGCTCCCCACGGCCATGGTGCTGGTCGACGCCACGGCCCCGCCCTTTTGCGTCACGTACGAGGGCTGCCACGTCATGAACCCCGGCCCGCTCCTCGCGCCCGGCCGCAGGGGCGTCGCGAGGTGGATCGAGTACGACGTTGGCCGGAAGGGCTGCCTGAAGGAGTGCCTATTCTAGTGATTGTCACGTATTTGTATATCTGGGGTGATGTCTTGTTTTTCGCATTTCAGGCTTAGGCTGTTTCTTTTCAGATTATAAGTGAAGTGGCGGCCCGTTGTATACATTTGGAGCAAGAAAAGGCAAAGCATGGCGTTTGGAGGTTATTCGGTAGGTTAAACTTGAGAATTTTGCTTCTGGGTTCGGGAGCCCCCTACCCAATACTCTTGATCTTCATTCACGTTGGTGAATTTGGTAAGAAGTCTTCCTCTAAGGGCCATGACGACGACTTTTTCTTGAGTAGTGTGGCCGTAAGAGAATTAGCTGATAACCATCCTAACCTAAGTAAACGTTGAGTGTTGGTTTGTTCGCTATCGGCACAATGACCATAGCTTCCTTCCCTTTGCCTCTTCACAGTCGCCCTTGACGTATCACTCGTACTTAGCGGAAGCCGCGCTGGGCTTGCTCTCGGCGAAGTAGGAATATGGGCATACGGCACAGGAAGGTTTCCGCTGTAACACGTTGAACCTGTATATTAGCTCGCCTCCGGTGCGGCTGTCAACTCAATTAATGATGCAAAGAAAATCAATGTCGCCGGGTAGGGGTTTCGAACCCTTCTCAAGCCTGGCAGCTAATTTCTTAACAGTTAATGCCGGCTACATAAAAGTGTCGGGCTCGGGGAGAAGAATGAACCACCAGCCTTGCTGTTATCGTGTTACCTCCCACTTGAAACGCCGAATGCCTAGTTCCGATATGAAAGCCTGCGGCTTGGTGATGACTATCTAGGGGCGTGCTTGGCGCTAGAGGCTTTTTTCTCGCCATCGTTTGATGAGCTCTTGGGGTGCTATCTGTGGCCGATCATGTATTTCTCGCCCTGCCTGGTGGGAAAAATATATCTGGCCGGTCAAAAACTGTCAAAATTATGCGTCTTACAAGGGCAGGAGACTCCCTTCTACGGATTTCCCACCCGGTTTTCGCGACTCCGTAACGGTCATATATCATCGAACGCCTTCCTGGGTGAGAGAACTATTCCCGGCGCAGATTGACTCTACCAGCCGTACTGCAAGCTGTAATACAAGCCGAGCTACAACGCGCGCCCTTTCACTTCAGGGGGTTCCTTGGTCGTGACGTAAAATGAAACTTGCGGCTTTCGGGCCGTCGCAAGAAACAGCTAGCAAGTCCGGCTAGGCATTGGACAGCTCTTCACTCTAGCACGCACTCAAACTCGTGCCCGTCGGTGTGGAGGTGGTTGGCGTATCCGTATCACTTGAAGCAGAAGTGGAAACCGGGCTACAATCTTGGCTCGTGCAGCGGTAGCACTTCCAATAGATCTCCTGCAAAGGTCCCATCAGCTCCTAGAACTAGTTTCCAGGACCAACAGGTGTAGGGTACTGCTCACAGCAACGCAGGCATCACACTCCTTCTTGAGTCGGTGCCCTTTGCCCTCGGGCAGGTCGTCCGCTCGGGTACCCGATTCAGGGAGAAGGCCGAGGTACTCTTCGTTGGTGACGCCATACAGGATGGCGATGTGGCGGGACGTCCATGAGTTGTTCGTCAGGGCCTCTCGGTCCGCCCTCGCATAGGCGATGAAGAGTGGACTGGGTCAGGAGACGCGATATTGACGCTTTGTCTGAACCCCCGCGTCCCACAGCCGGGTCACGATTTGCAGGCTCCCGCGATCGGCCGCTGTGTGCATAGTGGTCCATCTCGGCTCGCGTCCACTATCCAGATGCTCCACTAGACGCTCGTCATGTATATATTCAGAGCTAATTGCGAGTGCTCTGTGTACTGATGCGGGGAGTAGTCAGTCCAGTTCATTGGAGATGACGGACTGTACCGTGGCATGGTTTCCACTCTCCACGGCGTGGACAAGAAGCCGGTCCGGCCCCGGAGCCAATGATGGCCGAGTGGCCAAGGCATAAAGAATATTTAGATCCTGGAGGTTGGTGATGTCCAGTTACTTCCGGAGAGGGGTCAACGAGCTGCTGGCCAAGTTCTCGACATCTCGCGCAGCGTGTGAACAAGCTAGATACTCAACTAGACAGAGCCGATCGCGAACTTTCGTGTCGTCGCTGGTAAAGCTGGCGAAGGGCCCACCGTGCTCTGGGTTGCCACCGACTCCAGCAAGCCCCTAGTGAGCAATCCAGTTCTTCGCCGCATATTCTGCTGCAGCCTCCTGCGAGCGTGAGAGCCTATTAACGGCCCACTCTTCAGGTTCAAGTTGGTTGTCGTTTTGGTCTTCCTTAGATCTCGCTCGAGACTCGGCACCTGCCACTGTCGCCGTTGTCGCGACAGCCCAGGCCGCACAATCTTCTATCGTCTCTAGGTCATCCTTAGCAACGCTGCTAGGAATGCTTCTAGGAACACAAGCGACTTAGAGGACGGGTAAAGACCGAAAATAGATGAAACGACAGCCAGTTTGACCCAATACTAGCGGCACCATACGTGTATTTACCTTCGTAGTTGGCATTGCTCACGGTAGTTTTTGGTATATATCCCGCCGCAAATCAAAACAAAAAAAAAGTCAAAGGGGCCGACCACGGGTGTAATAACCAGCCAAAATGTCCAAATCAAATCATTAACATTTACTCGAGAAGGTTTGCCTCCTCGTCCAGGATTCCGTAAAGATTCTCAATCTCCCTCTCCACCACCTTGAGCTCCTCCGCCACCTGGCCCGTGACGAGCGCGTAGGCGTACAGGAGCGCATAGTCCCTCTCCTCGACCGGGATGCGGCCCGTCTTGGCCCACTGCCCCAGCTTCTGGACAGCCACCTCAGACGAGTCGCGCTGGACAAGGAGGCGGGCGGCAGCGTCGGCCGACGAGGACGACGGCGAACTGCTAAGTCCCGCAGACTCTGCCGTGGCCGACGCGTCGCCGGCTGGCCAGCCACCCTCGGCCGCCGCCAGGACGGCCGCCGCGGCGCCGTGGTCGTTGCGGAACTGGAATATCTTGGCCAGCAGCCGATCACGCGTGTTGGTGATGCTTGGGATCGACTCGGTGAGCGGGTACTCCAGCATCAGGGAACTCGCCAGCACCTGGAACACATGGCAGATACGCTCGCACAGGACCGCCCGCTCCTTTGCCGTGAAGAGAAGCAGCTCTCGCTCACCCTCGCTCATGTGGCCTTTGCGTTGCGTCACCAGGCTCATGGCGTAGAAGGCGTCCAGAATCCGATTCGTTGACGCAAGGATGCGCCCGCATGGCGCAAATGGGAACGGCCCTCGAAGCTCGAATTCACCAGCCGCCGCCAGCCTCAGTGTTTCGAGGCGAGATGCTGCGATAGAGAAAAAGGAAAAGAGTTAGAATGCGGTCAGTCACAAACCATGTTTTCGAAACCAAACCAAGTCACTTACCATATCGCTGCAGTGCAGCCTGCTCGCCAGTCTTTAGGTACGACCTGGTACAGTCACTCCGCAAGAGAATGGCGAGCGGTCCTCGCTTCCAGATCAGGCCCATCTGCAGGTAGAGAACCGAGAGCCCCTCCTTGAACTTCTTGCGCGCCGAAATTGGCCAGATGAGACGGCACACTATGAGGCCCCAAATTATACCAGCTGTAACGGCAACCGATCGATGCAGCGCGATCTCGCCAATCCAGGGGTCCAAGCCACCCTCGTCGTCGTCGTCGTCGTCCACGCTCTGAGACAGGCTATAGGCGTATAGGGCCGAGACGTTGTAGGCAAGCAGCGTCATACGCCCTAGGGGAGCCTTGCCTTTGGCAACAATCAGGTTAAAGTTGTAGAACGCTACACAAGCGCCCAGCGCACACAGAACGAAGGCATTGCCCCCGCTGATAAGCCAGTTGATCAGAAACATGCCCACTCCAAATATGGTGCCGATAAACCGGGCTATGCCAGTAGTGTTGGAAGCTCCGACCGTCATCGAACAGACAATCATGAAGGAGAGCAGCCCCCACTCGCCACGCCAATGCGCATAGGTAGGGCGAGTTGCCGGAATGAAGGCGAACATGGCCCAGAGCATGGCACCTATGCCCACCTTTAGACCGAATCGGACTGTTGGACGACCTTGTTAGCGATGGTAACTCATGCGGGAGTCTACCATAGGGGACTGAGTCCAAGACCTACCATCATCCCGGCCGCAACGCCTCAAAAACCGCAAGAGTCTCTGCGCAAGTATCATCATCGTCTTGTTTGCGTCGGCCGCAGCTTGCCAGCTGTACGTGTCGCGGTGTGCCGTCATGGTCGATGGAATTCCCTGTGGTAACTGGGAGCGTCTGATCCCACGAACCGGCGTGGGCGCCGGGCCTATGAGACTCTCGCGTTCGGCGTCCTCATACGGCAGCGGCAGGGCGGGGCGTGAGAACAAGCGCGCCCGATCGGACCTCCAAAAACAAAGCCAGCCCCAAGTCCGCTTCTTTCGGCCGTCCTCGGCGGCATGCTTCAGGTCGTCGAGCACGTCCAGATATTTGGACATCTCCTCACCAAACGTCTGTAGACTGAAACTGAAGTGACCACACGCGGCGGCTACCTCTTCAAAGTCAGCCTTGAGGCTGTCCGAGTAGGACGGGCGTGCCAGCTCGATGCTCTTATACAACTCGTTGAGCGCGTTAGCACGAGAGTCGTTGAACAGACTCAGGGCGTCAAGCAGACTCGTCCGGAAGTTTCCATTAATCATCACCTCATAATCGGGTGCCGAGCCGAAGACCGGCTCCCGGAGTATCTCGGAGAGCGTGTAGGCCAATGACTTCATCGACGGGCCGAGGAGAGCAATAAAAAGCTCAAATATCTCAGATGAGGTGCGGAAAACATGGACTTTGGCACTGTTCGATGCCGTATTTGGCACACTGTAGGACCTCGTCGCCTTATGGCGCCTACCACCGGGGCGATCGCTATCACTAGCACTCTCGTCAAGCACCTCGTGGATGGCCGAGAGGACATGGTTCCGGTCCTGGCCGCTCTTGAGCGTATGGGAGAGAGATCGCGACAAAATCGGCGATGTGGGGCTTAGAACGGCCGATAGGCTCGACACGTTCCTCAGCGACATGTTGAGAACGGAGCTCGTTTGCTCCGACTCGCGTAGCAAAGCGAACTGAGTATTTGCGGCACTGCGCAGACCTCCTATAGACTGTGCCAGTGTCTCGATAGACTTGTACACAGCCTTGTCAAGCTGGTATATCTGCTCGTGGCCTAGGAAGTAGTGCTCGAACTTGGCATCCCGGAGCACGTCAGTCATGGCCGTGTAGCTCGACGAGTATACAGCCACGGCACGGGAAAACTCGGAAGATTGAAATTCCTCTTCCCGCCCGCTCAGAAAGCAGTGCGTGACGTACGACAGCATGTCGCCGAGCGATGTCGAGGCTGAGCCCATGGACTTGCGTAGCTGGTTTCGGGCTGATGTCCGCCAAAGAAGCAAATTGACCGAGGCAGAGCAGGTGATGCCGATTATGAGAATCTTCAACACCTGAACGAGCTTGGTGTTGTCCCAGATGCTCGTGAACGTGGCGTTCTCCTTGGTCACAACGCTGATGATGGCCAGGGAGGCGAGGGTCCCGCCGACGTTGACGAGTGGGTTGTTCATGCGCTGTTTGACCCAGCCGATGAAGCCAAAGCCGCCCCCCACAAACACAATCAGAATCAAGCTGAAGGCGATGGTTGGCGCATCGAGCACGGAGCCGAAGAGTACCGAGGTGGCCATTGACAAGACCGAGATCAGGGCGGCATATATAACGGCGGTGAAGGCAATCAGGATGGCCTGAATCATGGAGCCTGCCGTCCGAGAGGGATGAAAGTAGACGGTGATAGTCGCCGTGACGTGCTTCCCGTCTGGCTTCCCCAAGAGCTCGGCGAACGGCGGCACGAATGTCATCAGACTGCCCAGGACGTAGGCCAGAGTGCACTTGAGCACGCCCCGGCCTTTCGGGGTCCCCAAGAACTTGAAGAAGGCAAGCAGGGCCTCGAGAGGGATATTCGAGACTCGCTTGAAGGTCCTGGCCAGTCCGCGGCGGGAGTATATGGAGGCGGCATCGCTGGCATCGTCGCCGCCGTGGGACCCGGCGATTGAGGGGGGGTGGCGGAGGGTGAACTGGCGATGCGAGCGCTCGCCGGTCGTGGGTATCACGAAAGTGCCATTTCGGAGTTTCTACAGCAATAGGAGTGAAGTCAGAAAAAGGGTGAAGGAGAGGTAGGACCGGGTAAGACAGTTTTGGATTTCGGGGCGAGCGCCTGGGACCACGACAGGGCGGCCATGGACTGACTTACACTGCGCTTGGAGGGGCGCAGGGGCGGCCACTGCCCTCCTGAGGAAGAATGCTGCGGGCTCATGAAGAAGGGCTCGTTGCTCAAAGCGAGCTGGGGTAGAAGAGGTGGATGGTCGGCGCATTCTCCGGAGACTCGATATTAGGGGCGGGAGGTGGGCGTGGCGGCGCGCGCAGCGAAGGGCGACGGGAGCAGCCTGCGACGGAGCCGACCAACTAAGCTGCCGGCTCGGTGCCCGCGGTTGGCGCGGGTGGTGCAGGCGGCAGGAGGCTGTCGCAACGGTCGGTGCGACGGCGTGCGCTGTCGAGTACTACCAGCAGTCCAAGTCGAATGTTTTTCCCGCTGTTGTCGGGTTGCAGCAGCACATTGCCAACTCTCCAGGGATGCTGACAGTCAACCCACCTTCGCTGGTGAATTGCGAATAATGCGCCAGCGTCCGATCCCTGCACAAACGGGTCGGGCGGGGTCAGTCCCGCCGACATGCAACACCAGACCAGATGAAAGCGGCCGCCCAGTTCTTGGAGCACAGTATGCCGCCCAGATAGACGGACGGTCTCGCCGATTATATTGACGTAACGCGCCGAGGCCCTCCGCTCTAGCACTCTGGCAATAACGAGCACCTAAATACCATCTAGGTACACATTGAACTGTTTCGTCTTATAATAGACAGGATCCCCCAGTCGATCTGGATAGACATCACAGTAGCTCCAACAAGCATAGTCTGAGTCGTAGTATCCGCACGGCTAGCCGAACTGTGATGGTCCTGGGAAACCACCCCGCCGTGCCCGCCTTCTTAGCCCGCGTGATAACGACCTGCAGAGCGCGGCAGCTGGGTGTTGGTATAACCCACATTGATGTCTGCTGTCCTGCAACATAGCATACAATATAGCATACCTGCCCGCCTACCACGGCGCCATATTGCCATTCCGTAACCACGCCGTACATGCGCAGGCTTCTCTCAGTCATGGCAGCTAGGAAACCGCGCCAATTCGCCCCTCTGAGGCCCGGGGCTTCCTCAGAGGGGTCCCCGGCGCTGCAGGGTGTCGTTTTCGGTATGTGCATGCAGTCTCGGCCGTCTAGTGTGACACGCAACGAAACCTGAAGGCCCCAGGAGACTAATATCGACGGCCTCGGCAAGACGTCGACGGAACTTTGTGGCAAGTAGCATGCGACCTGTCAGGCCTTGGCTTTGTTCGAGGTGACAGCATCAAGGCATTGTAGCCTCGTGACGACCGCCGTTTGGCTGACCTGGACCTGGTACGCACAGTAAACCTCAGAACTACATGTTCGCCGAAATGCGTGCAGTGCTCGGCATACCGAAAAGCGTCGACATTCTGGTGAGACCACGCAAAGTTCCCGTTTCCAGCGACATGAACCCACATGTTCCTTGCCATCACCTTATAACTATGTTGTCCCATGCCACGTGGATACCATTCCCTGCTAATCACTACAGAAAGGACCACATATACGCCCTGCCCACGCCTGAAGCGAGAGAACAGGCCATGGAGTCCATACGATCTATTGAGCGCACCGCCATGGTGAACCAGGTCGCGCAGCCGGGTCTTGTCGAGCTCATGAACTACCTGGACTCGCGCAATATCCCCAAGGGGATATGCACCCGCAACTTCGAGCAGCCCGTGGCGCACCTCCTGACCAAGTTCCTCGCCGGCTCGCGCTTCGAGCCCGTCATCACGCGGGAGTTTCGTCCGCCAAAGCCCCATCCGGCCGGAATATTGCACATTGCAAGGTCATGGGGCTTGATCGGGCAATCGGCAAACACCGACGGCGATGCCGCCGGCGACGCAACCAGGTTGATCATGGTAGGCGACTCGGTTGACGACATGGCTGCCGGCCGCCGTGCTGGCGCCGCCACCGTGTTGCTAGTGAACCAGGTCAACGCTCACTTGGCGGAACATGACGACACTGATCTGGCGATAACGAGGTTGGATGAGCTCGTTGGGATCCTGGAGGAAGGTTTTAGATGCCGAGCAACAGCTTCCGCTGCCATGGCTTGATTTCGCTCGCAGCGAGCCTAGGGCTCCATATCGAGTCATCGCGTACACCAGATACGCCCCTACACCTAGCGTCTAGACAGCAGGTATATATCTCACCTACCTAGGTAGTTGTGGGGACCTCTTTCAAGCAAGCCTAACTGTTGGGGATGCTTGTAAGTGATCGGCAAGATCTTGTTGGTTTTTAGAGACATCTGTGCGTTAATCCGTTGTATGACAAGTGACAATATGACTTTGGAATGGGATATCGATATAGAGCCTTCTGAGAGTGAGGGCACGGAGAAAAATAACCATGAGACGAGGTGATCTTGAAATTTCGCCGTGTACCTGCTCGACGAAAAGAAATAAAATGAAGTGGAATCCAGATTGCACCAATGCTTTAGATTTGAGACCACGGCCAGCAAAAGAAAATATGCTGTGCCTTTTAGGAAGCTCTGTTTGTTCCTAAGCAAACGAGGCGAGGCAACAAAAACCGGGCAAGTATATGTGAGACAAATGAACCACTTATTCCCGACCGTTCACCTAGTCGGATAACCCAATCCGTAGTTTTGGCTCGATGCCGGAGGCGGGCCCATGGCCGCTTGCCGTCGGCTTTCTCTTCGTTGCTCGTCGGCCGTCTCTTTCGGGGGCGGCGGCGGCGGCCCAGGATCTCTGGGAGCCGGTCGTATCGGAAGGCCAAACGTCGCTCTGCTCGCGCTCCCCGGGGCAGCGGGGTAGGGGCCGGCGGGATGACCAGTCGGGGTGTCATGGTAGCCACCCGAGACCGTGGGCACCGAGCTTGTCGAGGCTACTCGTGGTCCCAGTCTTGGATGTACAGTCGGTCCACCTGCTCTGCCAAGCCCGCCGAACCCTCCGCTCCGCGTTGTCGGGGATCGGCTCGAAATGCTGATTTGTTGGTCTTGGGGTGACAATAATGCGCCCACAATGGGGATCTCACCTGATGTTGGGGTCTCTAATGTACCATCTTCATCACTCGTCCGCAGCATGTCCTGCGTCGCAGGCGACAGCTGCGGGGCGAGGTGCGACTTGCGGTTGTCGCGCTCCATCAGCCCAAAGGCCCAATCGCGCAGGTCGACAGGAGTCCTCTTGGCAGCCTGCACGAACGGGTCTCGGTCCTGTGCGGGTGTCCATGTTGGTCAGCACAGGCAGCATATTACACGCCATAGGGACAGCACCATCGGTTGGCTGTCGCTGCAAACGACGTACAAAGAGCTCTTGAGGCGTTGGCCTCTCGTCCGGGCTCTTGAAAAGACACTTCTGAATCATGTCCTCGAGAATCTGTGGGAACGCGTCGCTCTTGGGGAGACTCGGGGCCGGCTCGTGCACAATCTGTTGCAGCAGGTCGAGAATACCGGCAGGTGCGGACTCGGCATCGGAAAGCTGCTCACTAGCCGCAAACGGGAACTTGCCGATGGCCAACTCCATGATGGTAAGACCAAAACTCCACACGTCCGACTTGACCGTATACTTCTCTCCCTGAATCCGCTCAGGTGCCATGTAAGTTGATGTCCCGACAAAAGTGTCGGCAATCGAGTTGACAAGCTCGCCGGACACTCCAAAGTCGCAAAGCTTGATTGATCCTCTGGAGTTTACGAGGATGTTCGACGGCTTGATGTCGCGGTGCATGATGTGGTGCTTGGAGTACAGGTAAGTCAGGCCGCCCAGGGTTGCCTCAGCGATCTTGCCCAGGACATCCACCCGAATAGGGCCAAATACCCTCGACACACGATCGAGAGATCTGAGGGGAAGCAGGGAGAGTATTAGAATAACTAGCACGTCCGCCAAGCCATCCAGGAATGATGACATCCTTGCAGCAGGTTGGTCTCATGCGTGCGTCCCAGGGGGCAGTGGGAGATCAAACTCACCCAACATCCGCGTATTCCATGCACATGATGACGTCGTTATTCTCGTTCAGGAAGGCGCCGTAGAATGTGACGATGTACTCGGAATTGCAGCTGTGCATGATCTGTAGCTCTCGGACTATGCGCTTGCGCATCTCTCGTTTCGCTTCCACGTGAATGACCTGAACGAAAGCAGTTGGCATGTCAGCAGCCGCTTGCTAGCTCTGTTCATCAATTTTCGGCCCCGGGAAGGTGCGCAGCTACCTTGCGGGCCATGATTGTGTTTGTCGGCTTGTGCAGGACCTTGCTGACGGTGCCTCCATTGCCGGAACCAAGGTCTTTGATGACTTCGAGGTCCTCAGGACGCAGGTCCAGGTTGAACTCGATTCCGATTTCCAGCTGTGCGTGCTCTGAGTCTTTGTGGGATGGGGCTTCGAGTGTCGGCGGAGGTTTCGGCGCGGCAGGCGTCAGGGCGAGCCCCTTGACGTTCCTGCGCTTCATGGAGCGCGGCGCAAAAGGGTCGGCCATGTTGGGCTCGGTGATGTGGCACGTCACAAATATTTTCCGTGTTCACCGTTGCCGGAGCTTTCGGGATGCTCAATTTCGGTGTCGGGATCGGGATCGTAGCTCTGGGCTTCCTTATGACGCTTGGAAATCACTTTCCCGCCCCTTATCGAACGGCCGCGGTTCCACCAACTGATGCAGACCCTATTTCGTCGCAGAGACTCAAGACCGGTCTGGGTATCTCGGAGGTGGCACGCCGATTGTGGCTTGCCAGGGGGTTTTCCAGGAGTTGTGGCGGGAGGGAACGGAGGGGCAGCAGGCTAGGCCGCGAGGAGAAGAGAATCGCTATTTTATGACTGGAGCAGTGTTGGGCAGTCGTCGAGCTAAAATGCCAGATGACACAGTACTGGACAAGCTGCAGAAGCTTTATCCAGCTAGAACGTGGTTGCACAGACGGACTGGCGTCTGTTTGCCCGATTCCTGGGTTTCGGGAGAGCTGCGGGCGGCGAGACAAAGTGTCGACAAAAGACGGTCAGAAAGGGGGAAGAACAAGAGCCTGGCTTGGGCCTCTCAATGCCCGACTTGACTGGGGAGCAGGTATTTACTTGTCTGCACAAAGCAGCCGGTGATCTGCAATGAATAACGCGCTCTGTGGCGGGCCGTGAATGTGTCGATCAAAACGAGGGAGAGGGAAGAGAACGGTCGCCAGCGGGCTAAAATAGCTGGGGACGGAATCCAGGTGGTCGGTTCCGGCACAGTTGTGCTGCAGGGCGTTTGGCTAAGGAGTCTGAGGTACCCGCCCGACTCGTGTCGACCCCTACTAGGCGCCGACTCAGATCATCAAATTGAAGAGTGGAAAAGGACGCCCACACAGCCCGCTCCGTCGCGCAGTGCCCAAGGTGGGATGGATGGGTGAGGATGGTGGGGTAATTTTTTCTCGGGCGTCTGAGGGGCTGTCTGGAGCTGGCGCTGTGTCGGGGCAACCCTTGCGAAAAAGGGGGCCAATACCTGTGGGAAAGGTCTCGCAGCCAGCAGGCGATGCGGAAGGCAAGGGTCTGTGCGAGCTGCGGGCGGGAAGCAGAACATCACATCGTGGCGTGGGGACGCAGGTCTCGCCAGCACCTCCAGGGTCCGCCTGTGTAGGTTCCATGTTCTTCCCTCCTGATAGGACCCAGTCTTTTTCGAGGACACTGCGGCCATGGAGATAATCTATTTTTGTGAAAAATCGCCCAGGTGAGATCCATTACGCGGTATCCATCAGGTGTTCTCAACAGCCATTCAAGCACCCAGGCGAAATCCACTCTCCAAATATTGATGGCGATCGACAGCCAGACTTCTGCAATGGCCCCATGGAGCCCAGGCTCCCAATCAGCTGCTCATCCAGTGCCATCCAAGCCAGTCCTGCCAGTGCAGTGCAGTACACCATCTGTGCTCCACCCCTTCCTGCTCTACACTCCCTCTCATGGAGCAATGATTAGATGCCTGCCTACCACCACTTGAGTACCTATTTACCTAGATGGTAGGACTTGAGGCACGGCACCAACGACAACAGTCTGTCTAGGTCGCGACTCTGCTAGTGCGGGAAATTCTCAATGCAGAAGGTGACTACGCCCTCAAAGATATACCATCCACATGTCTCTCCTCCTGATGCACTTTGGTTGCTACACGGCAACCGAACAGCTTCTATTAGGATACGACAGTATTTCCTCGTAAGTATCCTAATCCGCAAGACTGAAACCCTCGAGAAAACAGGGCCCCTTATTCCTTGGGGAGAAAAATGGTAGCCCATGCTATCTGGGTACTTGCAGATACTTATAGCTATTCTAAATGGCTGCGCAAGCGCTGGGAAACTGCCTCCCATAGAGTCAACGAAAAGAATGTCACAGAAAATTCGGGGATCTGCTTGGGGCAAAGGGGCCATTTTGATATGATATGGGTTAGAGGAAGAAAAATTGAAAGAGATAGAAATGGAAACTAGTAATTGGGTTAGTAACTTCAGTACCATTACTAGATTATGAATTTACTGTCAATGTCGCGTGTATGGTAGTGTGATGAAGCCTCTCTAGAAAGGTTCTTTTTAAGGTCGATTTGAGGCAAAAGTCACTGATGAATCATGGAGCACATGGGTTGGATTTCCGTCTCCCAGGTGCCCGCGCACGGTCTGGAAAAAAAAGTCTGGACCGCGAATTTTTTCCCCCACCTAAACCACCAGCACCAAAGCCAAACAACATGCCCGCGCCGCATTCTACACCTAAAAAAAACACGCGTTCAAGGGATTTGTGATTATCTTGATGCAAAAAGCATTACTTATAGCTACAATAACGTTTTTCGCTTTTTATAAATGCAAAGGGTAAAATAATTGCAGATTGAATGGGCTCCTTTTTTTGTGGTAGTGGGGAAAAAAATTTGCGGTCCGGACTTTTTTTTTCCAGACCGTGCCGCGCCGGCAAGGCGGTGCCGACAGGAAAGCTGGCGCCACACAGTGTGGAGAACGCACATGCCTGGAATGATTCAGCCAAAGGCACAGTGGCAAGCGACCGCATCTCCCGATCCACGCCAATTGGCTGAACGAACAAGGCTACCTGCCGAACACGGTCGCGAACAAAAATTCCAGCCATTCTCAGCTCAGCCTTAGGTT